TAGGTCCCGCCCCTTCATTGCTTTACCTTCTGCTAGTTTAGCAGAAACCTAACCCTTCTCTTGCGTTTCTCGTCGTCTCCCAGAAACCCATTCAGATGGTAACTATCTACGGCCAGATTTAGAAAGAAATTCAAAGACAGGGGCTAGGAATGAGCGATTCTAGAATAGCTCTCAGATCAAAGGAGAAAAATCTTTGAATTAAATCAAAGAGGAGAACAGAAGCAGGAGAACAAGAAGACAAAATGTGCATTTGAGAAAGGCGAGGGACACTTCTAACTCGCGAGGATTTGGGTTGGGGGCACTGTGGGCATCCAGTTGCCCTAATAATTTCCAGGAACTTCCTCGTGTCTGTTTCTCAGCGCCCTCCCAGAAAGCGGCCAAAGGAATAATGAAATACGAACATGCTGTATGTGTAATCGCGCCCATTATGTTGCTTCGTCACAAACCAGTAGCTACTGCTGCTCCCGTTGACAGGACTGAAACTGAGCGCCTGAGTGTTTGTCTTGCCCAGAATGACACAGCTCGTTAGTGCTGAGCGCGGCTCGGTCAGAGACAGTGTTTCCTGACTCACAATCCATTGCTTCTTCTCTAAGAGATGCCGTGGCTTTCTAGAAACCCTGGAGCCCAGAACCTCCCTGTTACGTCTATCTTCCACCTTTAAGTCCCAGAAACCTCTTGAGTGACTCACTGCTTCCTGTCACCAAATAAATTACTTTTTCGGTAAACTTGCAAAATGGTTGAATTAGGAATTACTTTGTGGAAAATTGGGATCTATCAAAACTAAGAGGTGGTCAGAGTCATATAGGATATGCGCCAACCTGTTGCAAGGGTTTGGTTAAGTTGAGATTCATGGTGGATCTGGTCATTTAATCAGTGAGGACTTCCCTCTTCTGGCCATAAAGAACATGTATATCAACTCTAAGGTTAACTTGGAGATATTTAACTCTCCTCCAAGCGTCTTGGATTTACCTCTCAATGTGCAGTCATCTTCTCATGTGTGTGAGGGGGGAAAACGTATGTGATGATAGCTCATCTGCCGTTATGAAGACTGGCCTTTAGAATTCAGAGAGGGACTCTCCATTATGTTATTCGTGTATTCACTTCTATCTTCCAGGCCCCGCCCACTCCATATCCTCCAGGGATAACCTTACACACTCCCAACTGGTGGCTCTATCTGTGTCCTAGGACCCAATGATTGAAAATTGCCTATATTTATCCAGATCAATGCAAAATCATTGCTGGGATCCACTAGAAGCCAAGTGTCTTAGCCCACTCATACTGCTATTAACAGAGTCCCGTAGACCTGGTGGCTTAAATAACAGAAATTCATTTCTCACAGCTCTGCAAGCTGGGAAGTTCAAGATCACAGGGCCAGTGCGGTCAGGCTCTGGTGGGAGCTTTCTTCCTGGTTTACAGACGGCCCCCTCCTTGCTGTGACCTGACACGGTGGGCGGAGAGGCGTCTCTCTCATGTCTCTTCTTACAGAGGCACTAGTCCTATTCATCAAGGTTCAACCCTCGTGACCTGATGAACTTCCAAAGGCCCCACCTCCAAATATGTCGAGATTGAGGCTTCCTCGTTTGGATTGGGGTTGGGCAGACACAAACGTTCAGTTTACAGCGTCATAATATGCAAGTATCTTGAGCATGTGCTTAGGAACTGGTGCGTTAATCTCAAATACTTCCCAACATTTGAAGAAAGAAATAAATCACAAGAATTCACTTGGGGGCACCTGCTCAGACTTTAGAGGTGAGGGATAATTCCTGTAATGTCCTGATGGTTCTACCGGGGAAAACCAGCAGCTGATTTCTTCTGTTGGAAGTGTGCACCACGTTTGACCTTGTAAAAGATGCTGTTGTTGCACCACAGGCCAGGGGTGGTGGGGAGGGCAGGGAGGCAGGAGGGCTGAACCCGGCTGGGCTCTCCACAATAATCCTGCTCTGTTTTCTTGGGGTGGAGAGAGGAACAGGCATAACCATCAAAGATGCTTGAAATTGATTCCAAGTAGTATTGTTAAATAGACCGGGCTTGCTGAGGAATAGGTGTGAGTTGCTGTGCTTGAGATGCAAAGGATAAGTGCAGTGGGAGTCACAGCCAGAATAGTAATTATGTTATCTGTCTTGTTGAGGAGTTTGACTATAGTAATTGCAACATTTTCTCCCATCACTGAAGCTTGTAATTATAGTGCAACTAACAGGATTATGTGCTAACTTGGGCTGTTTTAATCACCTCTTTTACTCTGAAATGCAATGGTAAAATTCCACAGTTGCTCCCAGGCTGCCGATTCTTTTCAACATCTGTTGTCTTGTAATAGCTCAGTACTAAGGAGAAGAGGCAGAGACGCTCTGGGCATTTTACAGCAGAGGTCTTTAGGTAAAGCCGACTTCAGGCTTGAGGAGAAAGTGTAAACAGTAAGGGAGTTTTAAATTTCCAGCCCAAATAAAATTTTCTCTTTGAAAACAAATCACATGTTTTTTATTTCAAAGACGGCAGATGTTTTCTGCAATTTGGCAACGCCTGCAGCCCATGTTTTATATGCATGGAAGGAAACTTTCAACTATAAAAATCAATCTAGGACAGATTAAGAAAACCCTTCCATACAACCTAACAAGCAGGTTTGGGTTAATTAATGCCTGGATCTTAAGCTGTGTGTCAAGATGTCACCTTTCATGCGTAAGACTCATTAAGATGTTCATTACTTATATTTATCCTTTCAGATCCCATAACAACCAACTTCAGGGGTTATCCAAATACTCTGCTTATGCAGGAATAAAGGAACATCATACACTCTGTGAAACAAGAGGGCTGATAGCTGAGCTGGAAACCTCCCTTGATTCTTTGATTGTAGGATGACTTGTGCGCTCTTAAGAATGTTGTTTCAACAAATCGAGGGCATCCAGGATGTAAATATTGCATGCATGGAACCAAACCAGATCTGCCCATTTAGTCTCACATTGGGCGCTTATCACTTGGCACCAATACAGTCCCCATTAGGTACTCATTCCTGTTGCGCAGGTGCCCGGACAGGACTCCGCCATCCAGGGGACTGTAGTTATCACTCAGCAAGTGCATCTGTGGTCCTAAAACCGGCAGCAAAAGGAGGCAATCGAAGAACAGCCTGTTTCCCTGAAAGAAAAATTGTGGAACCAAGTGCAATATCACCTTTAGAGGTGACAGAAAATTCCCTAGATTAGATCTGCTGAAAACCAGCAGGGCCAGACATGAACAGCTTAGCTGCGTGGGCAGCAGAGACACTGATGGGAGGCAGGAACAGCCCAGCCCCATCTCTCCTTTACCCAGCCATCCTACAAAGCCTCATTTTTTTTAATTGAACTATAGCTGACATACAGTGTTCTATTCGTTTCAAGTGTGAAAGAGTGATTGCACAATTCTGTACATTACAAAATACCCCCAATAAGTGCAGTTACCGTCTGTCACCATAGGGTGTTATTAAAGTATTATTTGACTGTATTCCCTACACAATACTTTTCATCTCCGTGACTGTTTTATAACTGGAGGTTGGCACCTCCAGAGCTACATTTTTGGGGCTCCTTCCTCGAATGCCTCGGTCTAACTAACATGCTGGTCCACGGTGCGGCCTCCACCGCCCCCCAGCAGGGCGCCCCCTTGTGGTCGGTCTCAGGAAACGGAACTGTTCCAATATTCCCCCCCCCCGCCCCGCCCCGTGAAAGGTGTTAAGCCTGTGAACACTGATGATGCCAGGGGAAGGAGGCTGTAATTACAGTTTAGCGACCTAACTTCGGGCGAGCTGGATCGCGCTAAAAGGTAAACAGAGGTACATTAAAGCTTTTCTTTTTTTTTAAGATTTATTTAAGAGAGAGAGGAAACATGAGCAGGGGTGAGGGGCAGAGGGAGGAGGAGAGGCAGGCTCCCCATTGACCAGAAAGCCCAACACAGGGCTTGATCCCAGGATCCTGAGTTCTTGCCCTGGGCGGGGGTCAGTTCCTTTATTTGGGGGGTAAATTCCTTATACATCTCTACCAGAATTGTTTGTAGGAGTCCAGCCACTGCTAAATCAGGTCTGGGCTGGAAATCAGAAGAAAAATTTCCGGAAAATTTTGGAAGGTAGGTCAGACTTTAAAACCTGGAGGGAATGTGTGTGGCTTGTATACACTGGGGATTCTAAGACATTTTTTCATTCATTTGTGGAATCTTTTTAACATTCTAGGAAGGATTTAGACATTGAGTGGCCCAAAAGGATCTCATTTGACTGCTGGATACTGAGCCCCGCCTGTAACCTCTAATAAGCCCTTGCAGGCAGGACGACCTAATTGGCCGGATGCATCAATGCAGAGGCCATTCATTTGCCAAGCACGTGACCCAGACGCCGGGTGAAAGGAGCTGGTAGCTTCATCTTCCTATTAAGGAGCAGGGTTGGGCCCTTTGCCAGCTCCCACCCAGCCCTTCCTCTAGAACCCCGGGCTTGAACAACGGGGATACCTCAGTGCACCCCTACCATGTGTCTGCAGGCTTCAGGTGAGACTGGAAGGAAAGTGGAGGGGAAGGAGATTTCTGGTCCCAAGCAATTCCCTGCACATGGGGTGGCGGGGAGGGCGTGGCCTTTGTGAGTTAAGGTGTGTGCTTAGAGTAGGTAGCTCCTGTATGTGATACATACAATACACTGATAATATGTGCTGTCTTGGGGAAAATGAAGTGTCTCTCTGTGCTGGTCACGAGAGTGGATTGCAATCAAACAACGAATAACAATAACAAACACAATCACACAGGCTTGGCCAGGCCCAGCGCTCCACTTTATTCATCTGTACATGGTTTAGCAGAGTCATTGTGAAGCTAACGGCCCGGGGCCTCCACTCATCACTCAACTGACAGTAGAAGGAGGATATCTGGGCCTTCCCATTCCTCTCCGGAGGTTGGTCCTGCACCCCTGGGCATGTTTCCAACCCTGTCTCCTTGGGTTTGCACAGACCCTCTCTCTAGGCTGGCCTTGCCCTTGGCGGTGCACACCACCTGCCTGTCCTTGGCCATATCCACACGGACGCCTCTGCACCAGACCCACCATGAACTGGCTTTTAACCCCTGTGCTGTGTCCCCCGCAGGTCTCCCAGGCAGCTGCGGACCTCCTGGCCTACTGTGAAGCCCATGTACGTGAGGACCCCCTCATCATCCCAGTGCCTGCGTCGGAAAACCCCTTCCGAGAGAAGAAGTTCTTTTGTACCATCCTCTGACTCCATGGGTTATGACGTGGCTCCTTTTCTGTCCTTAAATTCCCTGGTAGAGACTGCATGCTCTTAGCTATAGGGAGTCCCAGCCCACCCCTGCCCTCCCCAACCAGGATGGCCGGGACCTGCCTCTCTCCATTGGTTTTCTTCATTGCGTTCTATTTCATGCCTTCTTTTCATTCTCATGGTATTTCCATCACTGCCAAAGCAAATAGATCTTTTCATAGCCCAGTAACACATGTGCCAAGTGAAAATAAGTATGAGGTTAAGGGTTTAAAAGTTAAACTTTTAAAAGCATCAATTCCCATTTTCAGTACATCAAGTTCATACATTCCAGTGCTTAATTTATGGAAAAGAAAAACTGTACAACGCCCTCCGCCCCGCATTCCTAATAATTCAGTAGCAAATTAGAGCATTTGGACCCACTGAGCTAGGTGGATAAAGTTTTCATCTGGAAGTTCTCTCTCCTGCTTTTCCATTATCCTATGAGAAAGGAAATAACCCACAGTATCAGATGGTTTTCCTGATGTGTGTGGGGCCCAGACCCTGCTGAGGACAAGTCCCTGCTTCTCACTGATTACCACCGACCACTTTGGAGGGGGTCCTTCTACAAATGTCGATAGTGGGGTACTGTTGTAGCAAGCCTCAGTGTCCGTGCGACACTGTCTGTCTGTGTGCTCGAGCTGTGCCCGCCGAGGGCATCGTCTTCCCCTCCACGTGCCGTGTCTTCCTGCCCCTCTTACTCTGACTTCTCGTAGTAATGGCTCCATTAATAGGGACTTGCTCTGGGCGCAGCCCAGGGCCCGTGGGCTGTCATCAGAGTGGTCCCTGCCCCAGAGCGAGCCACAGGGCAGCCGCTCCCTCTGCACCATCCGAGCATTGACTGTATTCACTTATTTAATCCTCTCGCAATCCACAAATGCCACAAGAGTAGTCTGTTTTAAAGAGAGGCAACCAGGGGCACCTGGATGGCTCAGCAGGTTAAGCATCAACTCTTGATTTCCGCTCAGGTCATGATCTCAGGGTCCTGGGATCGAGCCCCGTGTTGGACTCTGTGCTCGGCAGGGGGGGTCTGCTTGAGATTCTCCCTCTCTTCCTCTGCCTCTCACCACCCCTGCTTGTTCTATCTCTCTCTCTAATATAAATAACTGCAGCGCACGTCTCTCCCCATCTTTGCCAGAAGGAGGCACATTGGGCCCAAGTAGCTCATGGAAAATGATAGACAGATATGTGGATGCCCCCATGGGAGACTGGACAGTTCCTGGTTTTTCTGACCCCGCCTAAAACAAAGTTGAAAGAGAATAAACCATAGGGGCAGAGAGCTCCTTGTCCAAGTTCACGCTCTTCTGTTGTAGTACTCGCTGGCTCTCATGGCAGCTGACCATGTGATGTGGGGCAAGCTATTGTGTGCCCAGAATGTTCTAACCTGCTAATTGGGGATAATGGTAATGACTCCTCCCGCCTTTCTCTTTGGAAGGCCACAGAGAGGTGCTACATAGATGAAAGCTCTGATTATCATTTAAAACAAATTACTAAAGTCTCCAACATAACATTGGCGGGAATGTATGACTTCAAAGACACCGTGGTTCTGTTGGAGAGCCAAATATAATTTCAGATCAATTAATAACTTGCCACCTTGCAAATGGCTTCAGTACATTTGTATGCTTTGCCTCTTTTGTTGGAAGTGATTCTTCATTTTATTAAAGCTCACTGATGTCACCAGCGAGGTTAGGAAGCCATATGCTCTAACGAGAGCAGAATTGTATGCGGCGTGTGATAATCAGACTTCAAACCCTTCCCTGTCTCGGTTGATGACCAGGAGCTCTTTCTTCTGTGGTCCATGTCAACATAATTAACCTGATAAAGCAAAGCACAGTTCATAAAAGCACATCAGAGAAGCGGAGAAAGTGGGACAGCACAGAAGCCGGCAAAATCAGGTCAGGAAGAAACTGTGCTTCTCGCCTTCCTCCAGACTTTCTCTCCTTTGTTTTCACTGTTTCTGTCCCTCCCTCTGTTACTCGCTTTTTCCTCTTCCTCTTCTCTCCCTTTCCCTCCTCCAGGAGATGCTCTCTTACCTTTGTGGTTGGCCCCTTCTAAAGTGTCCCTGAACTCGACGCCCCCTTCCTAAAGGCAAGACCGTGCACTTGGGCTCCGAGGTACACAAACAGGTGGCTGACCCCCTCCCGCACCACTAGCCGCTCACTGGGAGGCGAACCAGAGGGGCTGCGCCTGCTGTGGACAGTCGTCACTTTGTGTTCACGAGCTGGCTGTCCAGCATCTGACCCCCCTTCCTACAGGGGGAGATCACCCCTCACTAGACGCACTAGGACTCCCTTTCACTGTGGGTGCTGAAGGGGGGAAGTCTTCCTTGTCTTGGGTGGACCCCCTGCTTGGACTCCTTTGCCTGGACCTATGAGCTCGGAGCAAGTGACACAGAAATGAGAAGACGCTGAGATTTGTTTTATGGGAGCTGCGGTGGTCCAGGGGTAGCAGTGGCCCAGCAGGGAGGCATCTAGGCCTGGCAGGTTGCAGGGATTCTGTGCCCAGAGCCAACAAGGTCCAGGGACGGCAGAGCCCTGAGCAGACCATTCCCGCTCCAGCCCTCAGCCCTGTTAGCTGTCTCACCCTCTGCCCCCACCACATCCTCCTACGTCTCTTTCTTTCTAGTTTTCTGTCAATTCTCTGAGCCTCCAAGCTCCATCCAGTAAATTTCTTATTCCGTAAGATAGCCTGGGTTGGATGTACATATCATATGATCTAAAAACTCCTGGGTTGGTACTTTACAGAAATGTGTATATGTGCTCACCAAAAGTACTAGAATGTTCCTAGAAGCGCTATTCAGGATAACCCAAAGCCGGAAAGCACTCCAATGCCCACGTCGAATGGATATATCTGGTATATTCCCACAGTGAAATCCTGGGCGGCAGTGGGAATAACGATCCCATAGCTCAACCCCACAGCATTGTGTGAGGCTCACGACATAAGGCACGTTCATCCTACACGATTCCATTTATGTCAGGTGCAAAGCTCAGCAAAGCTAACCCAAGCTGTTGCAAGTGGGGAATATTAGTTGCTCTCTGGAGGCTGGGAACCAGAAGGGGCACAAGGGGAGCTTCTAGAATGTTCCGTGTGTCGATCTGGTTGCTAGTTACCTGAGTGTGTCCAGTTTGTGAAAATTCTCTGAGCTGCACACTTTGGATTGTGTACTTTTCCGTATGTATGTTATTCTTCAATAAAAGTTGGTTTGTGTGGCTAGCAATCAAGAATCCTACTGGGTTTTTTGGGTTTTGTGTTTTTTTTGAGGGGCGCTTCGTTCAATATTTTACTTCTCTGTAGGCAGATCGTCAGTAATGGAGCAGGACTCTTAAGTGTATTTGGCAGCATTCTGGAATTTGAAATGCTTCTAATCCACAGCTCTCTGCGCAAAGAACCGGCTTTCAGCAGAATGCAGGCTGAAACGGGAACGGGGTATGGGCGTGTCTTTTGGAAAAACATGAGGAATCCTCCGGGGATTCTCACTTGGATCAGCCTCTCCGTAAATGAGGCAGGTACGACCTCCTGTTAGCCCCTCCTGCCTCCCGGCCATCAGGTGTGAACAGAGGGGGTGGCCTGCCCCAAAACCCTATTACCACAGACCACCTGTGAAGGAAGAAACCACAGCAAAGGCACCAGCTGCAGCTTCTGAATGCAGCCCCGGCCTCCTGGCCGCCCAGCCCACCAGCACCCGGGGGCAGACAGGACTTCTTCAAGGCACTCCCACCCCAGGAGCTCGGGGCCCTCTTCCAAGCCTCTGATCTTTTCTGAGGGCCCCGCAGTGCTGTCTCCTTTGCTCTCCACTACTACGTGGCCACTGTCCTTGCAGAGAGTGAATATGAAATCCCAGGCTGATCCCAGAGTAGCTTCACGCTGGGACCCCTGCGACATGAGTCAGCAGGTCTCACATTTGATTCTGAGCTCCAGCCCCCGGAAAGGAAAGCCGCAGTGAGTCTACGAATGGTCGGCTGCCTCCCTCCGTCGGAGCCACAGGAGGGGAGCAGGCCGAAGGTCGGGGGAGTTGTGTTCTGGTGACTTCAATTCGAGATGAAAACAATAATAATAGTGACAACAACAGCAACAACAAATATTTTGACCTGGAAAGAATATGGACTTGGAGATAGTTTAGACTCTCCGTGTACACTTCCCTTTCATGGAGCTCTTCACGGAGGTGAGCAGATCCCAGGTCACAGGTGGCCTTTATGGAGGACCAGGACGGTGCTCCCTCCCCTGCCCCCAGGGGCTTCACGTCCTGGGCGGCACCGCTCTGCCTTCCCCCCGAGGCGCAGCCACGAGCAGCGGTGGGGGACAAGAAGCTGGGCATCTGCCAGTCTCAATGCTCCCGAGATAAGTATGCGTGAGCCAGTGTCAACTGCCACTGGTCGGAACTGGCCATCCCACAGTTTCTGATAAAACCCTTGCACTTGATTCTCTGTTAGCTCTAAGTCAGTTACCAACCGGTAAAATTTTCCAAGCCCACGTGTGATTAACCGTGAGCCGATGTTACTCTAACCTTCAAAGATTCACCACTGACAGGGTGGCCTCCAGGCCCTTCCTGCTCTGGCCCCCCCACATTCCCAGACTCGCCTGCACACCTCACTCCCCCTCAAAACCCCGTGCTCATCCCCACCGGCCATTATTCCGGCCTCACTAGCCTGTTCCCTGCTGTCAAAGGGCCTTTGCACCTGCTGTCCCTCTGCCTAGCCCTCTTCACTCTCCTTCCGCCAGGTCTACTTACTTTTTAGATCTCAACTTGAATGGCCCTGAGGGCTCGTGCCTTCTCTGACCTCTCTGACCAAGTCAAGTGTATTTATAGCTTCTTCTTGCGCAGTGAAGCTCTACTTACAATGCCTGTCATTGTTGGGATTTTACGTTTGTATATGTGATCACTCATTTCCCCATGTGTCCCCCAAGCTGTGCTGTAAACTCCGTGAGGGCGGGGCATTTACTCACCCCTGTAGTCTCAGCACCTAACAGATCAGCCGGCACAGGAGAGACACTCAGTGTTATCCCAACAAATGCTGCTGGTCATTTCTCGACACCAAGTGCTTCTCTCTTGGGATTCTCCATAAGCCACTAACCCCTGAACAAAGCTTCAGAAGACCCTGTGAAAGGAAGGAGGGAGGGAAACCATTATTTGGGGAGTGCTCGCCTCCACCAGGCACCAAGCAAAGGAGCTAAACGTCATGCCACTGCCTGGAGTCTCCGCCACCCCACATTAAAAAAATAAAGGCCAGT